CAACCCCCCGACTGATCCATTCGTGGATCCGCCTGGTCTTTCCGTGGATCCGTCCTGGGCACAACAAACGTTCCCAGTGATACTTGTGAAAGGTGTCATGTCTCGTCAGCTCCAGGTCGAGGTCACATGCAAGGTAGGTATCAAATACTAAATTTGGCTATCTCAGCTCACCTTCGTCACGATTCACGATAATGTTTTTAGCTCGTTGTACCCGTAGGCTATGCACTTACCTTTTTCATGTTACCTTCGCTTATTCTTGATTACCCTAGGTTTCGCACCCAATTAGCGACGTCATCCCTCTCCACCTTGTCATGACAAGCGAAAGTCATCAAGCGCTTGACCTGCTCGCGGTATCAAACGCCATCGATGTACGGTTGCTCAAAGTCATGGCTTTCGGAGAAAATGCAGCCAATATCGACCCCTTCACTCTGAGAAAACGCTACTCGTTTCACCACCGTACGGACTGGGCTGCGAAAGCTCAGTGGGAGGCCAATGCTCCTCCCCGGGAACTTCCTACAGATGACGAACATCCCCGGGCCCGTTGGCGCATTAAGTTTAACGGAATGTTCCATCGGGACCAGAGCGTCAAGATGAGCGAAAGCTTTGAACAGCCAGGCATGGCGCTCATGGTCCGTGGTTTTGACTCAAATGTGGATCTCGCGCTCACAGATTCCTTACTCAGTACTTTGTGTGCCTCTTCCCGTTCCGTTCAACAGACTTTCTCCCCGGGACCGACCCGGACAAAGAGCTATTAATGGGCAAGCTCCCGATTACTAGGCAGAGTTAATTCGATTGGCCATAGATTTGACGGTTGTGTGTATAGTTCTCCCTCTGAAGTTGAAGGTCCTGAACAGACATTGCGCACCGGTTCTTTTTGGAACCATATTTACTCCGGGACAGTACGTAGTACAATACCGGTCATCGCTAGGACATTTATATATACTTATCGTAGAGAGGTCTTATGTGCAGTTGGGTTCAAAGACGTTAGTATGATGGGATGGCACCCCCAGAGGAACCACGTAGCTCACCCGAAGCTGTATGGGCACAGTCACTGCTATGCAGAACTCTGAAACGTCTATATCTCTTTTCTATGTCGCGGGTATCCTTCGGAATGTAATTAGGATTCTGACGAAATCAAACTCAACGTCTAGCTGCGAAATACACATAAACCCAGACACGGGCTCAATTTCCCAGCCGCCCCCGTAGCCATGTCAACAACCCCTTCGTGCCCTCACGCTCCCACACGCGCCGCGGAGGCACACGGAACCTATTCGACGAATCAGCACATCGTTCAAAGCCAAGACAAAGAGGCTCACAGATTGCCATCCACGAGGAAAATGTCGAGCGGCAGCAGCCCCAGCTCGCCCGCGAGCGCCGCGATCGAGTTCTCCCGCACGTCCAGCTCCTCCAGCGTCCATCTCTTGCGGCGCTCGTTCCCGTCCCCATCCTCAGCGCCGAACACCGCCTGCGCGAGCTCGCGCAGCCCCTCAAGCTCTCCAATCTTGTTCCCGCACAGGCACAAACGGCGCAGCCCCACGCGCCGCACGCCACCTCCATCCGCCTCACTGGCGAACAACAGCTCCTCGAGCGCCTCACGCGCCAGCGCGGCGCCGGTCAAGTTGTTGTACGCGAGCTCCAGGTTGCGCAGGCTTGGGAAGAGCCGCGCGAGCACGCGCAGCGTACCGCCCTCGGCCGCCTCTGCGCCGGAGACGGCGTTGCTCAGCGCGCAGCCCTCGAGGTTGAGCGTCTCCAGTTGCGGTAATAACGGCCCGCAGCTGTTGCCCGCGGGTAAGACGAACGCAGGTTCAGCGCGCCGCCCGCGCAGGTCGAGCACGCGTAGCGTGTCCGCGAAGGACTGAGGCGCGATCAGCGCGAGAGGAAGAGTCGCGCGCGGGAGCAGGTCCTTGGAACTGGCGCTGGCTCCGGGCCGCACGGACCGGCCAGTGGAAGAAGGGAGCGTCAGCGTTAACGAGCGCGCGTCCCAATAGCGATCTAGCGCCTGAGGAACATCTGTAGCGCTTGCAGTGACGGCTGCATCATCAACTGCGCGCTGTGCGGCCTCCGCTCGTGCGCGGCGCTGTACACCCTCAGAGAGAAGGCCCTGTTCTGCATCGATTTCCCATTGTTCCTTGACGACGGGCTGAGGCGGGGGCAGGGGTGGCGCTGCGGCAGATGCGGCAGCAGCACGGAGATTTGCACCACTTCGCTTCTCAAGAAGGCGCTGGGCGTGGCGTTCTGCCTCGATTTCCCACGCCTCACGGACGATGCGCTTGCCGACAGTCACTGCGAGGGTACCCGCGGGTACCGTACGAGAGTCATTGATAGATGCCTCAAAGTCGATGGTCTGAGCCACGGCAGAGAACGCGGCGGAAACAGATTCTTTCGTGACGCGCGTTTCTTCTAGGTCAAGGACGGCCAATTTGGGGAAGGGCCGGGTGTTTGCAGGAGAAGAAAGGAGAGATATAGGGAAGGATGTGTCATCAATGTCGCACTTAGACATGCGTAACTCGACGAGCTGAGTGACAGCGCTTAACGAGGTGAGAAGTTCCGCAACGTCGGCAAGGGGGTTGTACGTGAGGTTAAATGTCTTTAAGTCCTGTGGAATCCCATGGCTGTGAATCGCTGAGGCCACGATCTTGTTGTGTGACGCGTCTAGAGAGGTGAGGTGCGGGAGTGGACGTGTTGCTCTCACAATCTCCGGAGCCGAGTAAAAATCGCTTGAGCGTCTGCTTGGCGCCGGTGTCTTCTTTGCGGGATCAAAGGGCATGTTGAAAGGTAGGGTAGTAAGGGAATTGTGGGAAATGTCGAGTACGGAGAGCGAAGGAAGAGCAAAGAAAAGTATCGGGAGGGAGGTCAGTGCGTTGTGCGAAAGATCAAGGTTGACGAGGGAGGTTAGGTCCGCAAAGCTCTCCGGGAGTGACACAAGACGGTTATGTTGGAGCTATGGGGTAAGTTTCAGCCAACTTGTTGCGAAGAGAATCGGACACACGCACGTCGATGGTTTTGAGAGAGCCAAACAGAGAGATCTCATGCTGTATTTCAACGATCTGGTTATTCCGTGCACGTAGGAACGTCAGATCTTGTTGGTCGTACCAGGTCGTCGAGTTTGAAGTAGCCCTCTTGGATGGTTTTTCTGGCAAAGGTGGTTCCTCTGGCACGCTAGAAAGCTTCTCAGGTGTTACAGAGAGATGTATCTCGAATAAAACTGAAGGGAGACAAGGGAGGTCGCGTGATGCGATGTTGAGCGAACCTTCCGGTCTTAGAGGGTAAGTGAAATGAATGACGATGACCAATGGAGCACACACCCGAACTACGCGCGCGCTCTATGGTTTCACGTACGGAGAGCCGACCAAGGTCGTCATTGTCTGCCGTAGCAGTCCCCCATGTGGATGGCGAAGCATCCTCGATACCAGCCGAACTAACGTGCATAGCAGTAGATTTCTGAGCAGCGAGCGCTTTCTTCGCCTCTGCGCGTTTGAGTGCAATAGCTTCCTTCAAACTCAGAGCAGGTGCCTTTGAAGGAGTAACCGGCTCTTGTTCGGTTGGCCGAGAGCGGGGAGGTGCCTTTGTGGTAGACTTGGTTCGTGTTCGGTCAGACGGAGGTGGTTGCGCGGGCGAGGAACCCGAGGGCCTTGCGTTGGAAGATATGGTGCGAAGCCGACCTGAGGGAGACTTCGGTACTCGGAGGGTGGAAGGCGAAGCAGTCACCAGTGGAGGAGGGTCAGTGACGCGAGCACTGAGCAGCTGAGAGTTTGCGAGGCGCGGGCTTGCGCTCGAAACAGGTAGACGAGATCTCGCAGGCTTTGGAGAACTCGAGCCATTTGAAGAAGGAACAGAGCGGTTCATCGTGGTAGAAAGCAAGGGCAAGAGGCAGCAACAGTCGATTGACCCCCGAACGTGACTGTGAAATGGCCGCCCGTCGGCTCGGCTCGCGACCGGGCGGTCATTTCCTTTTTTGGTATACCAACTCAAAACTCCGCCAGAGCCACGACCAACCCAATCGAATAGTCGACCGACCACGAAGCGATATCGTGCAAGTCGTTAGACGCTGCTGCACCAGGTGAGCATGACTCTGCCCTCCCAAGTAGTCGTTTCTGTAGCGTTGTGGAGGACCGGGTAGGCGAAAAAGGGCTGGATGCGCGAATCTCTGTTCGGATGGCTGTTGACGGGACTGTATTGTAGCTGGACACAGTGCAATGGTGGCTCCAGTCCAATCCTATATCCTGACGACCTTTTTCAGGCCCCCTCCCCACCAACTCTCAATTTCCCAGCATGATCATTTCTAAGGAGAACAAACGCGTTATCTACCAAAACCTCTTCAAGGGTGCGCCACCTCCCTTACCTGCTCACTTCCATCGCTCATATACACTCACATATATACAGAGGGCGTCCTCGTAGCAAAGAAGGACTTTAATGCTTCCAAGCACGAGGAACTCGAAGTTCCTAATCTCGAGGTCATCAAAGCGCTCCAGTCGCTCACTTCCCGCGGATATGTCAAGACCCAGTTTTCATGGCAGTGGTACTACTACACACTCACCCCCGAGGGCGTTGAGTACCTCCGCGAGTGGCTCCACCTTCCCGCAGAAGTCGTCCCCGAGACACATCGCAAGCCCGTTCGCGCCCGCCCTGCACAGGCGCGCCCCGGTGGTGGTGGTGAAGGTGCATACCGTCCTCCTCGTGGTGATCGCGACGATTACCGCCGGCGTGACGACGGTGGAAAGAAGGATGGCGCACCAGGCGAATTCCGCCCGCAATTTGCTGGCGTTGGCCGTGGTGGTCCTCGGGAGTGAATGCGTATGCGTGATTATGCGGATGCGGGGGACTTGAGGCTTGTATATGCATTCATAAAACATGTTCTACGTCCCCACATGACCTTCTCGTTGTATTGATTATCGTTTATACGCACATCCTTCTCCAATGGACCGCGAAAGTGCTTTTAGTGAGAGTCAAAGATTTGTCGAAAACATAAAGCGAAGATGCTTCAAGTTGGGCAACAAAAATGCCAGGACCGTGGATTGAACACGGGACCTCCAGAATGCCGTGTGCACTTCAGTCTGTTGCTCTCCCAGCTGAGCTACCCCGGCAGTCCCATTTGCTCTTCCAATTCACACACTCGACCGAGCATTCCACTCGTCTCGCTAATTTTCGACAGTGTATCTATCATTTTCCGTACTTCTTCCCAACACACGACCCACCCTTACGATGAGATACCCTCGGATAGCCCCTTCTCGCTCAGCAGAACCACCCGCAGCCGGCGCAGAGCCTCGTCTACCTGTTCTTCTTCCAAAAGACTAAACGACGCACGCACATAAGCCGTACGCTCTCCGTTTGGAAAAAACACGGTGCCAGGCAGCGCGAGGACGCCGCCGCCGAAGGCCTTGGTCCGAATGATGCTCCCCGAATCTCCGTCATCCCCGAGCAGGAGCTTGAACCTGAAGGTGCCGTTCGCCATCAGCGAAGCGACGTAGACGGTATTTTTTTAAAAAGCTTTACCAGAAGAACATTCCGGCCTCTGGGGTGTTCCATTCCGCGAGCCCGTGGAGGTGCCGCTGCATGGCCGCCTCGAACACGTCCCGCTTCGCGCGATAGAAATCCGCAACTTTGCGCACATGCGCGAGGAAGCCGTCGCGGCCCCACGCGCGCAGGAGGGTGACGACGACCGCCTGGGCGAAGGACGAGGCCTGCAGGTTCGCCGTGGCCGTCTGGGGGAAAGCTCAGTTCACATGGGCAGCTCCCGAAGGTTGTGTGTGCCTTACGTGTTTGTCCATCGCGTCGAGCAGTGGTGTGGGCCCCGTCACGAACCCGATGCGGATCCCGGCGGAGATGATCTTGCTAAAGCTGTCGAACCGCAGCACGCGTCCGACGCTGCCGTCCCCGGTTTGGGCCTCAAGCGTGAAGTACGACGGGATCCGCGGCCGCATGCCGAAGTACATAAAGTAGTACGGGTCGTCTAGAAATAGAAGGTCATTCTTTTGACCGAAAACGCAGACGCGAGTAAACGGCACCTTCGAGGATCAGGATGTTATGTTTCCGTGAGATGTCCAGAACTTCCTGGCGGCGCACGAGTGACGCCGTTGCTCCCGTCGGGTTGCATCCGTACTATTCCACAAATCAACATGTGATTGTTATCTCTTCGATGGTAAAATGCGCACTGGAATAGTATAAAGGACTTTAGGCTTGGGCTTGAACGAAGGCCAGCCATCCAAAATGTTTCGAAGAGATTGCGAGATGATCCCATCGCCATCGGTCTCAACCTCTGCAACCGATGGACGTCATCCGAGATGCATAGCGTCCACGCGAAACGCAAACGCACCTATCATATCGCAGAGTAACGTCTCGAACATAGGAATGACGCCCCTGATCTACGTCGTTAACGCCAGAGGTCCTAAAGAGCACCGCCGAGGCGTACGCATAGACAGGCTTCTCGATCAAGACAGGATCTCCTGGGTTCACGAGTGCATGTACAGCCTGAACACGCCGATCCAAGTCAACCAGACGGGCCAGCGCCTTCAGATAACAAGCTCGCCTTGTAAATCGCGTCCTGCGATCCCGCAGTGACGCTGATCCTCCACCCTTCCTCGACCCGTCTCCGCCCGTGCTCCAGCTCTTGGAACTCCGTCAGCCACTCGACCATGGGCGGGATCCCGCTCGTAGGCGCGTACTGCAGGCCCATCGCGAGCAACTCGGAATCCACTTTGAGCTCCATCTCCTCGGCGCCGGAGCCGTCCACGCGCGGAGCGGTGAACTGGACGCCGGTGAGCGGGAACAGCGCGGCATTGGGCTTCCCTGCGAGGAGCGAGATCACGCCGGGCGTCTGTTCGAGCGGGAAGAGCCCGCGGACTGCGTGCGTGCGTCGTCGGGTACGGTGCTAGGGGGAGCTGCAGGGAGGCGACGTACTGGGACTGGGTTTGCGCGCCTTGGCGGCCTGCGAGAGGAACGATGCGTAGAACGAAGCAGGGAGAACGTCGATCTTCTCCGCGATCGGTGATTCAGATAGTATGGTTACGATTCCGTAACACGGCAGGTACTGCTAGACTAACGTACCTTACCTAGGCCTACACTAGGGCCTGTCTCATTGGGTTTGCTCTTGAGGGTGCTCTCGGGTGAGTTTGCCATAGTCAATTGCATGTCGACCAATGTTGCCAGTGACAGATTCCGGTTGGGCATCCGATATGATCACGCTTCCCCGAGTCGTTTGTCTCATGGCTGTCTAGCCAGTAGCCACTTGGGAGGTATTTTTTTTCGGATAAGTTGGTGTATTGGAGCTGGAGCAGTAAGTTAATAGTCTACAGTAAGTTCAAAACTGATCACCATTGGTAACCGGTAGAATGTTCACTTTGTACAGAAACTAAAAATACAACCCTTATGCCCTCGTCATCATGGCGTAGTCACACCGGAGATGCCATCAACTTCAAACCTGTCTCGGGCGGTACGAGAGACCTGGAGACAAACCGAACCGACATCACTATTGAGGGAAGAAAGGAAGTTAAAAATAATGAGCTCACAGTTGGTGGGTTCACGGTTACCTACTGTAGTGCTCCCTTCCGGCCCATTCGGTACGGTTCTGGTTCGCGGTTCAGAGAGACCTTGAAAGACCGGACTGAACCGAACTTCCGCATTCCTAGGACTCGTCTCTTCGTCATTGTGTCATCTTTAGGCTCCGCTGTAATAGGGATTCACAGACCTGCACTTGATCCCCACACCGCCGTGGGCACAATGGCTCACTACGACATCTTTCGCCATCACCTTTCGATCAAGTTTCCTGCCTACGGACATGCCCTTTGGGACCCAAACCCAGGGAATTTATATCCCGCCGTGGAGGTTGGCGACGTCGGTTACATTCGCAAGGGCAAATTTCACCGTCTCTTCAACGTCTTACTTCCCGCGGATCATCCGTCCCATCACGACTTTGGTGTTCCAGAGTATCACGAACAACTCACACTCAACATAGAGAACCATATCGATATCGGCAGTCTTGATTCCCACAATTTTTATTCGACTGGCGTCACCTTAGGGCCCGAATCGGATCCATGGGCTGACGGGTAGATGAGCTGCATAGTTTAAATGTACTACTTCACTCACATTTTCTCAGACCGAAAAAAGAAGGCGAGGTCACTTTTTCATGCCCGAGGAATCAAGGTGCAGTACTCTGCCTTCCGATCCAGACTAAGAGGGAGGATACGGTGGCGAATACAAAGTTCGGCAAGTGGATAATCAAACATATCGGATGCTGGTTCGCATGGGCCCGACAGCTTGAGTTGGGAGTTGACCGGATGGAGGATATCATCCTGGTCACTGGCACTCATCGCACAAGATCTTGCACTAATATCGCTTTCCTCGGGGGCCAGGAAGATGCACAGGTATCATTCCGGGCTAAGGTGGATCGCCGCGATGATGTTGTTACTATTAACTGGCAATTCTCACGCGAACGCGATCGAGGTGCAGTGTTGAATTGTGGCCGTGATGGTGAGGTATGACCGTATGCATGTTATGTTGACCGATAACTCCTGAAATACCTCTCTGATGGTCTCAATCGCGCTAGGATCTACCGGAGGATCAGTGCATCTTCATACGAGGGTTTCGCGTCACTCGAAAGCTCAGAATATTACCGCTGAGGCTTAAGGGGGAAGCAGGACCCAATCCAGACCCAGAGGGATACGACGACTCGGAGGAGTCAGACATGGTGCTCAAACCAATACCGTCAATACCGGAGGTAAAACTACCGCACTTTTGGCGTATTCTAGTCATCATTTGGATAGTACCGGGATCCTCTTCACATGATACTAGAATACATCTCCGAAGTGAGTGCTGTGAACATATGCTCTTTCTTCACGTTTGGTGCAATACGAACCTTATAGAAAGCACCTCCTGATTGCGATGTACTCCTTGTTCATGATGACGACCTGGCACAGCTGTAGGATTACGATAGTACTGTGAGTCGATGCCTCTATATAGCTTGAATATGCCACTTTATTTATCTCTCTTACTCTTAGCCACTAAACGCTCTCGAACCGGATGTCATGTTAAGCCACGTCCGAAGTCTCAAGCCAACAATCCACAACACCCGGATCGGTGAGCCCTTACAGTACCGCAACTCTCTATTTCTCACAACAGAGGCGCGCATCTGAAAGATCTGCCGTCCGCTCACAACCGCGCCAGTGCTGATACAGAATCCGCTTGGGTGGCTACACTCTCAAATATTTTTGAAAAGCAGTGTGAGTTTCACGTTTCTCTGAAGTTGGATCTTGGCTACATCGCTGCTGATAGCCTCTTCATCGATATCTTCCGCGTCTCAGAGTCTCCACATCAAAACCACTTCTATACGACACCATTTGGGCGGTCGTGCCAGTGGCGGCGCCGATTGTAAGCAAATTTCTCGTATACTCTTGGCCTAGACGTTGAGTGCGCATTAAGTTGATCCCATCCGCGAACTTTACAACTACCTCGGAGATCTCACGGCTGGCAATCTGGGGATGTATTTATTGTGGGAACTGAAGCAAGAAGGTCCCTCCCATCAAGTCACTCATTACGCCATTGCCAAGTGTGAGTTTTTCAGCCATGTCACAAACCCTGGTACGCTGAGTTACCCGTAGTTCAGGGTGTTGAGATTGGCCGTGGGAGAGGTGTGTCCATACGCCTGGCGAAGAGTGAGGCTGCCATTCTAGCTCTGCAACACCTACATAGTCAGACTACCTTTCTAAAACGTTCCTGATGTCCTGGTCTGTCTTTTTGTTTTTTGATCCATTTTTATTACTGGGTTACAGCTGCCTGGTCTGTGCCCATGGATAGAAATGGTTGTACCACGGCGCTACTTTTAATTAGGGGAGTTCAGTGTCTAATGTGACGAATGATGAATTCATTCCCTGACATCAACAAAATTACACGTCCTTTTATTTTCACGGACGCATTCGGGTCCTTCCGCTTTCGAGTGCGCAGATCATACAGGATTGGGCGATGTGTAGATCCATTTCTGCTGAGTCCCGTTTCTCTCTCACCTGGCTTGTGAGCCGGACCCTGCGGCAACCAACAGCGGGCGCGTAGTAGTGGCAAATCGCACCATGTGGCATCCAGCGGAGTGATAATT